CGGTCGAGTGGTTAATGTATCAAACTCCCATTCTGCACTGTCACGGTTCGACTCCCGCTGGGTAGTTGATAAGACCGATGCGAGGTCCAAACTACAGTCCACCCTCGATGAGAACAACTTTTGGTAATAAGGCAATGTGAAATTCAATGGAAACGTCAGCTCTACTCATATCATTGTTGGAAAATTCTACTACCAGTCCTTCATCACCTTAAACGAAATAGGGTGAATATCTCTTATATTACAATATAGGAAGCCGGCTACTTAACTAGGGTCCCGATATTACCGTCTTACCAGCCATAAAAAATAGGTAAATTACTGAGGAAGTGACATTCAGATAATATGAAAAAATAATACTTTCTTCAGTAATGCCATCTTTCCAGGAAATTTCGGACCCACTTTGCAAATCGGACTGCTATCAATTGTTGTTTTCATTTAGTAGAGTCTATGGGGGGGATCTGTCAGCCAATACATAAGAGGTTATCTACACATAAAACAGCTGCAAAGTTTCGTTGGTCCTAAAGTCAGAACTGGCCGAACATAAACGCCCATACGGGACACTAGATAGACTGGTCTAACACCAAATATTTAGCTGAATATAGAGACTACCAATAAACGGAAAATTAGGAAATCTAGAGAAATCAACAAAACAGCCAATAGAAGGAACGAGTGTATGCAATTAAATGGAAACTACCTGTGGCTGCTGGATAAGATTAACGAGAGGAAATAAGAAGTACCGCTGAGCAAGAAGTGAAGGCTTTATTAGCCTCAAAATCTGGTTTTCACTCTTAAACCCCACGCGTCTCACTAGCATTGCATGCACACAACCCGCGTGCAATGGAACGTGGCACCATTGCCCGATAAAAAAAATATGTAGAAAAATTGGGTTTCTAAGAGCCCCTTATTAAATTGTTGTTGAAGTTGCTTTCATTTCATCTGAAGAGGTGAACATTCTACTGAAGCATGTTGTCCTGCTCTAACGATATCCGTCACATGGCGGACGAAAACTCAGGTATTCATCGGAGTCGCAAGCCGATGCACCGGGGAACTATTCGCACAAGCCTACCGCCACATATCTAAGGAAATCAATCTACAGCCTCAGGGGAGGTCAACTTACGAATCCCTTCTATTCGCCTCTTGAAAACGAATAAAAGATACTCCAGCATAAAAAAGATTAGTGTTTTATGGGAGGATGCAGCTTCTCGGTCACAAGGGTGTCTGTTTCACGCTTAAATTGCAACCACTTCACCTTTCATCCGCAGCCACTTCACTTTTTGACAGCATGTAGGAAAAGCATAGGATCTCCAATGAAATCATGAGATGTCTCACTAAATGGACCTAGCTATGTTATAAAAAGTATGTCGGATTGAAGCCGGCCACCTTACTTATTATTGTACTTGGTGGATTATCGCTAAGCATGGTGTACTGCCCTAACCATTTCCATCACGACTACGAAAGCTCATTAAGGATTCATTGGGGCAGCAGAGCGGTGCACCGAGGACCTATTCGCACAATTATACAATCATAGCTCCAAGACAGCTTCTGATGAGGCCAACTTATGAATCCCTTCCACTCGCCTCTTCAAACAAAATGAAAGGTACTCCAACATTAATTTATTAAGAGATTCTCCGTAAACCACTTTTTATACATGTTGATATTGTTCTCGAGATTGATTCACATTTTTTTTATTTTATCTTTCCAACTTCATCGTAAAAACACGAACTTTTCCTCACACTTAGGGTTTTTATAAAGAAGGTATAGCTCTGTTGGAAACATGTCTCCATGAGCTTACTCGTGATAAATCTCTAATTAATAAGGAGGGGAATACTGCTATCAACATTAGCAGCCGCAACGCTTTGACCACTGGTTCAATTTGCACAACGGGCGTCAGTCTTTTGCGAAGGGCTGTCGTTGAGCTGCGATTGGAGCTCCGGCTTCGTCGGCTATCAGATGGAGCAGAGGAAGAGAACAGGAGCGTCATTCTTGATGCCTGTGACCGCCTCGTTAAAGCCCTACGACTTTACTGTCCATGGGAGGCAAGAATTCAGTATGATTACATATTTTTTTACCTATTTATGTCTTTATTTGTTATCCATTATCTCCATTTTATTTACTATTTTTCTAATGATAATAATAAATAATAAAGAGCCGTTTGAATTAGGGTTAATCATAAATGCTTAATTTTGTTAGTGTATAGTTGCTATATCTTGATTGCTTGGACCCGTGATGTGCACTTAGTACTTTTAATGCAGCAGCCCTTAGAGTTAATATAATTATTTGCTCCTTTTTCGATCTTATTTGCATGTATATGGCATTATTTTTTAGATTTTCTCTTAATTACTCAGATTTGTTAAACTGTCTATTTATTTATTTGTCATAACAGTCAAATTTTTCTTGGCCAAATAAATTTTTTTCCCATTCATTAACTATAGTACTTAGTCAGTATTCTAATTTATTTCTTATGAATAATTTTGGATAATACATGGATCTTAATCAATTCTACTGACTTATAGTTACAGTTTCTGGTCCATCTTATTAAGTTCATATCATTTTGGTGTTTTACAATCGAGGAAGCAAGCGGAAATCTAAATATATGGGCCTATTTATTTGCACTACTTTTATTAACAAATTTTTTTTACTAATTTGAGTTTTGTGATTGGCGGCAGTCCATGATCTAGCACAATCGATTAAAAGTGGACGAGGTGGGCTTTTTGATACTTAAGGACTAAAGAAGGATGTATAAGATGTATTCCGGATCTTACTATTATCTTTATTAATTGAGCAAGCTAATCAGTTGCTTTTCTGGCTTTTATATCAAGCATTTTTTATCACTATCCATTTAGTCACTCGACTATGACCAAGATGATGTGGTATTTATTTTGCTCGCTATATACAAGTCTTTTGACTTAGATTTCGTAACCTTGAAATGTTGTCCATAGTAGCTCGACAAACGCACATTGTTTTAAGTCTTCTACCATTTTTGCCTGCCTCGTTTCG